GCTGTCCCAGCAGCGTTTTCGCGCCCTCCCCTCGCTTACCAAGGGCGCGAAAACGCTGCGCGTGGCCATTTTGGGGTCGCGTGGCGGCCATTTTGGACCCGCCGACCAGCTGATCGGTGGGTCGCAAGGCGAAGGTCAGTAAGCGAACCGCTTACCGACCTTCGCTCTGTGAATTGTGCCCAATCTAGGTGCCGTTTTGCGATCGCTGTTGCGATCGCAAAAACGGCACCGTTGCGCGGATTCATCGCTCTACGGAGCAACCGTTTTGCGAGGCACCACTGTATCTAGTTGTCTCATGTGTTCCCAGAGGCATCTGGTGGGGCCACTGTGAGATACAGGAAGCTAGACTAGATAGGCCTTTGGCCTGATCCAGAGGGCTGTTATGTTCTTATATAAAATCTTGCTCTGAAATGCCAGGATGGGAGAACAGTTCTGAGAATCATTCAGTAAAGAAGGTTGATAGTGTTCTCCCTGCCTCCTGATTGTGGGACCCTATGGGCCTTCATGTTCCAGCAGCAACTACAGTCTTCCAGATTCTTGTTTGTAACTGGAACTGTTAGGTTGGTTTTGTTGGGTTTTCGATTAATCAGTGATTTCAGGCACCTGCCAAGTGCTGGTTTCAGTACTTGTTGGTTTCTCTAATGGAGATGAATGCGAGGCTTCCAGTGGTTTTAGTGTTGTCAACCATTCTTCCTTCAGTGTTGCATTTTTTAAGCCAGGTATGAGATGTTTCACATGTGGGTTCTTGTCCTTGCTAATCATACACTATTACAGTGTTATACTTTGTCTGTTTTCTCTGACAGATTGGGTAGTGCAGAGCAATTTCTGAAGCCAAAATACATTGATAGGTTGTTTTTTGGTTGCTTTTGGAATGTAATACATTTTAGTATTATATCACTGTTTTATAGAGATGAGTTGTTGTTGTAGTGTAGTAGTAATATTGAGGTACTGAGTGTTTTGAGAATGCAACAGATGACTCCTTGACCTGAGAAACTTAACCACGTAAAATCTGACATAGGAGAAACAGAAATAAGAGGGAAGTGGAAGTAGGGACAGGCTGAAGCAGACACATGATATGATATGCTAGGGAACATGGGTTCCTGTTTTTGTTTGTTTGTTTGTTTGTTTTGTTTTTTTTTGTTATGACTTGCATGATGCTACACATTGCTTGATTGTTCCTGCTCACAGTGGGAGCAGATGAACCAGAGAACTTCACTCCATGATTTTTTACTGTGTTTTCTGAATATACTGTAGTTGCTTTCTTTTGTCTGGTTGGTTTCTTTCCCAACAAATCAGGGAATGAATTCGGAGTTTACGTCTCTTGTTTTTTGAGAGAGAAACAAAACCAGAAAAAAAACAATTGGATTTGAATAATAAGATGGACAACGGAAAGAATCCAATGGTTTTCTCTCCTGCCAGTGGGAATGAATGGGCAATGTGCACCAGAACCCTGCTTGCATTTTATGAACCAAGATTCACATGGTTCCTATACGTACCATGTTGTGACTTCAGCCACTATGTGTGTTTCAGTTGTACATTTGATTTGATAATACACTCACTTGAAGTAGTATATTGGGAGATTACACTGCTGATCATATATCTTCATGTACATATATCAATAGATATGGGCATTTTGTTGGTGATCTTAGAGAGTCTGCAGGTTTTCAATTGATCAAGTGTAAATGAAATGTGATGGTGGTGAGGAAGGTTTGGTGAGGGGGCAGTGAAATCAAAAATCCAGAATAACTCTTGCTTATCAGAACTAAAAATTATAGACATGAGCTTGGTCTTGGGTATCTGATCTACTGTAGAATAGATGTATGGAGGCAACTAATCACTGGGTGAGATGGGAAAAGGTAATATAAGATGAAATAGAGCTTTTTGGCAATTATTATTCATTGTATTCTTATGTACTTCTCTGTGTGTAGTCTAAAATCTTCAAGTTGTGTGTTTTGTTTTGTTTTTTGCAGCAGGCTAGTACAGTGGTGCCTCGCACAGCGAGGTTAATCCGTTCCGGAACACCTGATCGGTGGGTCGCAAAGCGAAGGTCGGTAAGCGAACCGCTTACCGACCTTCGCTCTGCGACTTTCGCCCATTGGGGCCGTCGCTCTGCGATCGCATTAGTGATCGAAAAAATGTCCCCGTAGAGCGAATTCATCGCTCTACGGGGCGTTCGTTGCGAGGCACCACTGTACTTAACATTAGTCCCAATGCATAGCCATAGCATTTTTTACAGTACTGTTATAAGGATTTCTGAAATCATATATACAAGCCTCTTAGAAACTCAAATCCTTGCTAATGTATAATTAAGTTTTGTTCTTGTACAGAGCTCTGGGATTGAGACTTTAGTGGAAGAACTCTGCTGCAGGCTGAAAGATCTCCAGAGTGAACAAGGTAACAATATTTATTAAAATAAATAGTTTTGAGGTTTGGACCAACATGAGGTGTATTAGCCTGGTACTTTGTGCTCAGTTCTGTTTGTTATGGATGGTTGGAATAAAGCCTGCTCCTCACTGACAGTGAGGAAATAAACCTTTGTCAGGGCCATGTGTTTCAAACTGCTAGTGGAAGTTCACATGGTAGAATAGTTGTCAGCTTGCCTCACTGTTGGCTGGAATGATATGATCCACTTCATTGGCAGTTTGTGACAACTGGGCTTACATCTTTTGTCATAACTTGAAATGCTCCTTGGTAACAACAGCTGAAATCCTATTGGCGTACATTTACTCTGCATAAGCCACATGACACCATACAGCAGTGGAAATCTTTTATTTCATTTAATTAAACATTTCCAAGGCCCCCTTGGGATCCCTTTTCCCCTTGGGAAAATCATGGCCAGATTGCCACCAGTGGTCCTGATCTGGTAGCGGGACCACAAGTGGCCATTTTCTAATATTAAAGGCTGACTAGGCTCTCAAGGACAAAAGGGATCCTTGGGGAGCCTCAGAATCTGAAATGGAGGAATATAATTGTTTTAATTTAATTAAATTAAAGATTTTGATACTTGATGATCTTATTTGGCTTGAGTGGCATGCAATTATGTCAACAGGAGTTCAGTTCTGTAATGCATACAGAATCTCAGTTTATGGCCATAGAGGAAAAATACTGATTAATGGTTAGTTATTATTAAATATGTAATAAACAAAACTGCACTTTGTAGGAGAGGAAATCACATGATTGAGTATTTCTGTGTAATGATTTAAACAAATGCTATTCTGAAACAAAGAAAGTAAGATTATATATTTATAAATCATTATTTTTTAATGTAACTATTGCTCTAAAATTGAATTTGGATTTTGACCAAGTACAAATCTGATCTCCTGAGTCATCAGTACTCAAGTGACTTGAATTATGGCTACATTACAATGTATGGAAAGAACAGTTATGGCAATGGATTGTGTCTAGACTAAGTCATACTTCAGTAATGTTGAAATCCACGGAGAAAGCTAGTCATGATTGACTTGTGAAATCACTGAGATTCAGTGTGAGTAACTTAATTTGGATCCACCTGTCTATTCAGGGCAGATGTTCTTAAGAAGAAGCAGACACACATTATTGTAGGCACTGAGAAACATCTTGTGGCTTCAGGAAATTATATCCTGACTAGTGTCATCTGTTACATTTAGCTAAAATTTATCTAAAATTCTCAAAGCATAAATGTTTCTCTCTCCATAATCAACCAAATAACATGAACATGTTTTTTTTCCCCTATGTGTAACTACCAGATCTTCATTCAGGAATTTTCTCATCAAATAAACATAAGACCACATAGTAAAAGAAATGTGAATTAGCTCTACAAAAGTATTGGATTATACTGCTGGGTGATACAAAGACTCTGTTTCAAAATCCAACATATTATACTGGCTGCTCAAACATACGACTATCCCAATATTTTCAGCACTGAAGTGAACCAATATATTGTAGAATTGCATTCTTTTAAATATAATCATTTAGTATGTTGTGTGCTATTCTTTGTAATACATTTGAAATCAAAAGTCTGAAATCACACTTCCAGTTTAACTGCATTGTTTTTACAGCAGGGGAGAAGATTCACAAAAAGCTGGAGGGCCCTTTGCCTCCTGAAGTTGATTTAACTGCTGCAACAAAGGATCAAGTGGAAATGTATGTTTCTCTAAAAAAGTATCTTGTTCTTCAGTGTAAGGAGATGTAAACAAGCACCATTTTGAATAGGCACTCTAGTACTGACACTGGCTTAGAAATAAGTTTATGAACTATTGTCTTTATATTAAAATACTTTTCTTCTGAATATGGATCATGTTAGAATCTAAGTTTTATTTCATACTTCAATGAACAGAATTCTGCCATGCATTGAAGCAGGAGAGTTACAAGAATATTCAGTGCAACATATCCCACTTTCTCTTTCAGTGGAAGACAGTGTTAATTTTCATCATCAAGCCATAAAATTTGCATCTCCAAATTACCGCAGTTGTGCAATAAGACTACCTTAGGAAACAGTTTGCCATCAGCTCTACCAAGCAAGGTGCTGAGGCTGACAGAACCAGTCAGGGACAAGTTATTGATCTGCTGAACCACAGCTCTTCATGTTGGAGAAGTTAGTTATCATCATCTAAACATAATACATGCAATTACAGCTTTGTTATACTTTTTCATATGATGTGTATAGTAATAGGTGGAGATCCTCTGCCTTTGTTTGATCAAATCAAGAAAAGTCAAATATTTTAAATTTGCACTTTAATGCTTTCAGATAGCATTCCCTTCAGGAGATGTAAGTGTGCAATCAATTTAAATGCCTAGTCAGGATTAAATTCAGTGTGCTGTTCTGTGTGGAATTGAATGCTTAAATGTTGGATTTGTATTATTACTGCAAAACTCAGTGCCTAATTATTGTCCGTTTGTTCTCAGGTATTATGAAGCATTTCCACCTCTTTCTAAGAAACCAGTCTGTCTGCAAGAAATTATGACTGTGTGGAATAAATCCAAAATTTGTTCTTACTCGAGTTCCTCCTCATCTTCTACTGTCCCAGCAACGAGCACAGATACATCATCTCCAAAGGATTGCATTAGTGAAAGTGAGGCATCCAAAGAGAGAATCAGTAGCAAAGCATCTACCACTGTAAATGAGAGAGCAATCCAGAAAAAAGATAAAGATGAAAAAGAGAACAAGTTTGGGAATAGCAGTGTTGAAGAGAAACCTTCATACAAAAAGCAAGTCCGACACAAATCTGAGGGGAAAATTCGTCCACGATCTTGGTCTTCTGGATCCAGTGAAGAAGGTTCAAATTCTAGTGGTAATCAAAGTGAAGTAAAAACAGCTACAAAATGTGTTAAAGTGAGGCATAAAACCAGGGAGGTTCGAAGTAAAAAAGGACGAAATGGACAGAGCAGGCATTTGGCAAAAGCCGGTGAGAAAGCTGAAAGAAAAATTTATGGCAGCAGCAGCAGCAATGGATCCATCAAACAACTGTGTAAGAGGAGCAAACGGCCATTGAAAGAAATCAGAAGGAAAGAAGCTGGCAGCTATGAGAGAAAAGAGCTATATTTTGATAGCAGAAATGAAAGAGAATATAAGGAAGAACCATTATGGTATACTGAGCCAATTACAGAATACTTTGTTCCACTGAGCAGAAAAAGTAAGCTTGAGACAACGTACCGCAACAGGCAAGATGTATGTGAAGTAACATCAGAGGCTGTAGAAGAATTAGCTGAGTCGGTGCAAGGTCTTTGCATTAGCAACAATAATATTAATAAAACATACCTCGCAGCAGGTACTTTCATTGATGGCCGTTTTGTGGAAATGCCTGCAGTTCTAAATGAGGACATTGGCCTCAGTAGAACCTCAGTGTGTTCTCAACCAGAGGACGATACACACTCAGATGGTGTTCATCTGTCAGAACTAACACACTTCTATGAAGTGGATATTGACCAATCCATGTTGGATTCTGGTGCCTCAGGCAAGATGCAAGGAGAGAGTCGGATTCTGAATATGATTCGGCAGAAAAGTAAAGAGGGAACTGATTTTGAGGCAGAATGTTGCATAGTGTTTGATGGAATGGAGTTGCAAGGGGAAAGTGCAATATGGGCAGATTCAACCACCTCTGGTGCTGAAGGGTGGTTCTTGCAAGATCTTAGTAATTTAGCTCAATTTTGGGAGTGCTGTTCATCTTCTAGCTCTGGTGATGCAGATGGGGAAAGTTTTGGAGGAGATTCTCCTATTAGACTTTCTCCTACCTTAGACAGCACAATGCTTAACTCACACACGCTTGCAGGCAATCAAGAGCTGTTTTCAGATACTAATGAAGGGTCTGGCTTAAATTCTTTTTCAGTGTTTGAAGTGCAATGCAGTAATTCTGTCTTACCATTTCCTTTTGAAAAACTCAACTTGGGAAATGAAAATACAGATTCTAGTAGCAATGTTGGTATGTTTGGGAAAACACAGTCTAGATTGTTAATATGGACCAAAAATAGTGCCTTTGATGAAAATGAACACTGTTCTAATCTGTCAACAAGAACTTGTAGTCCATGGTCATACTCTGAGGAAACACGTTCAGACAATGAGACTTTAAATATTCCATTTGAAGAATCCCCCCAGTTTAACTCAGATGATATTAATTATGTAGTTCCTAGAGTAACTTCAAGTTACGTAGATGAAGAAATAGATTTTTTGCAGGATGAAACCTGTCAGGAACAGACTAGATGTTTAGGAGAAATACCCACCTTGATTTTTTCAAAAAAATCTAAACTAGAATCTGTCTGTGGTATTCAGCTAGAACAAAAATCTGAAGATAAAGAATATGAAACTGCACAAGTGTGTAGTGACAGCAGTCCGCATGAAGATGACTATGGCTCAGGGGTTATTAAAGACATCTGGACAAATATGACAGATGGAAATTCTGCAGAAATAGTAGAAATAGATGGAATAGAAGAGGAGCTGTTTTCAGCTGATGCAAATCATTACTGCTGCTGCTTAAATGATGCAAAGTTAGAAATTCTTCAGGATCCTAAGAAAGCAGTACAAAGATCAGAATATCATCTGTGGGAAGGTCAGAAAGAGAATTTGGAAAAAAGAGCTTTCGCATCAAACAGTTTATCAAAAGTGGATTGTGGAGATTATACTACACCTTCCAAACCATGGGATATTAATCAAGATAAAGAAAGCTCATTTATTCTTGGGGGTGTATATGGTGAGCTCAAAACTTTTAACACTGATGGAGAGTGGGCAGTGGTGCCACCCAGTCATCCAAAAGGAAACTTGCTACAGTGTGCAGCTTCTGATGTAGTTACAATAGCTGGTACAGATGTCTTCATGACGCCAGGAAACAGCTTTGCCCCTGGTCACAGACAATTATGGAGACCCTTTGTGTCTTTTGAACAGAGTGAACATTTGAAGTGTGGTGATCATGGATTAAATAGGGGTTTTTCATTTATCTTCCATGAAGACTTGTTAGAAGCTTGTGGTAATTTTCAAGGTGAAGAGCCTGGTCTTGAATATTCATTCTCTTCCTTTGACTTAAATAATCCATTTTCACAAGTTCTTCATGTAGAATGTACATTTGAACCAGAAGGAATTACATCCTTCAGCCCTTGCTTTAAACCCAAATCTATCCTTTGCTCGGATTCTGATAGGGAAGTCTTTCGTCCAAGGATATGTGGTGGCGGGAGGACACAGTACAGAGCTATACGGATTTCTCCTAGAACTCACTTTCGCCCCATTTCTGCATCTGAACTTTCTCCATGTGGTGGAAGTGAGTCTGACTTTGAATCAGAGAAAGATGAGGGGAATATCCCTGCCCCTTCACAATCTGAAGTGTTTGATGATCCACAAGCAGATCTCAAACCACTGGAAGAAGATGCAGAAAAAGATGGGCATTATTATGGCAAATCAGAACTTGAGTCTGGGAAGTTCCTTCCTAGATTAAAAAAGTGTGGAATGGAAAAGAGTGCACAGACATCTCTGGATTCCCAGGAAGAATCATCTGTAACATTGCTGTTAGAAAATGAGAATTCTTGCTTAGAGTGCAGCATGAAAGACCCACAAGACACGATGGCTGTAGAAAATTCTAAAGCTGGTTGCAGTGTTGTTGAACCACAAGAAGAGGAAGACAAGTCTTGCGGTTGTAAAGATGATTCTTATGAAGATAACCTTGTTACTTCAGCACAGCTGAAAGAGGTATGTTCTGGGAAGTACAGTGTCATACATTTTAAAAATATGTAATTTAAATCCGCAATATGCCACTGAGGCCTAAATCCAGTTGTTTGTCCCAACTAGATTACATCTTCAAAATCAGTGGGTTTATAATCCAGCAGCTGATTGAGTCAATTTACTCTTTGGGGCACCAGCAATTTTGATTTAGGCCCTTCTTCCAGTCTGAATACAGTTTTACATATTTGATATAAAAGGTTATTTGCACATCTGGTAAATTTGAATGGTTAAAACTGGTAAAAGTGCTGTTTGTCTCTATATGTGAAGTGAGAATTACGACTAGATTTAGGCATGTCTGTTTCTCCATAGGTTCCCAGAGTGGTCTATATGAACCCCCAGGGGTCGATTTTGACTTGCAAGGGGTCCATGTCAGAGAGGGGAAAAAATGGGGGTACAAGTTTAGACTTGTATCAAAGCTTTGCAGGTGGCAGGGGGTCTACGGAAAAATAAGTCAGCAAGTGGTCTGCGGGGCAAAAAAGTTTGGGAACCTATGCAAGCTGTTGATAGAGTGGTCATAACAACCAGATAGGCGGGATATAAATAGAATAAATAAAATAAGATACTAGGTACCAGAATTCTGTACAAGGTACTGGCTGTGTTGCATGCAAAAGGGAATGACGATTTGATATACAGTAGGTGCTGTTTTGTCGGTGAGACTGATTTTCCCTGGATTATTATACTATACTAGACATTTTTCTTTCCCTCACATTTATGCATGTCTCAAGACTTGGTGTTCGTTATAATATTCGATCAAATTACTGGTACAATAGACGTATGTGTGATTTGACTTTCCCTCCCTTGTGCAAGGAGGTATCTGCTCCTTATGCAAGTAGAATTGGGCTGTTACAGGATTATTCTGCCAACATAGCATTCCTCATTTTGGGTGATATCATTGACTTTTCAGATTAAAACAACAGATGTGGGTAGGAAGACAGAAAACATCCTCTTTAAGATGTTATTTGGCCTGTAGAAGTTGTATATGACGTTATGACCATAAAACTGGGCCAGGCAATAGAAGTAGGCACACACCCTTTTGAATGTTCTCCTAAGAGTATGGAATCTGTAATTGGGATGATTTTCCATTTTGTTTTTAGAATTTGGGTGGATACATTTCAAGAAGCAGTCCAAGCATCCACAAATTCAGTTGTTGTCAAAAAGTTTTCTCAGAGTATGTGGAGCATAGTTCTGTATCCTCAGAGATTGAACATTAATAGAAGAGTGTCAGTTTCTGACAGTAACATTTTCCTTTTATTTCTAGGATAGGCATGGTTATGTCTTGTAACTGGTAGATGATTGTAATACCTCCAGCTGTACAATCTAAACCTCTTTCCTTGCTTATATTGTCACATTTCTTTTTTTCTGTCAGAGTAACTTGAATAAAAGCCCCTATTTCCTTTTCCTGGTCTGATGTCAGTTAAAACTAATTTCTTCTAGATCCCAAAGGACATCCAAGAACTTCTCTCTCATTGCATTTTCTGTAGTTGAAACACATTTGTTTTAGCAATCCTTTATATAGACTTTTGGAATGTAGTGGTCCAGCAGGACACCTACGCAATATTATGTGCTCTTCTAATTTCTCAGTTACTTACTGAAGCTACTTGTATGTCACCTTTCTCAGCATAGGGGACCCAAGGCATTTCAAAACAGCAGATTTTTAAAACCTTAAACAAATATAATATTTAAAAAATAAGTAAACATCATATATTAAGATTTAAAAATCAAGTTTAAAAACAGTTTTAAAAACAAATTTTAAAAACAGCATTCCTGAGAAGATAACTTAGTGCTTAAAAGCCTTGTCTCTGAATTAGATGAAGAAAGGAAAAGACTTGTACATGACGGTATATGGGAGTAGAACAGAGTTGGTAAAAGAGGGGATACCTTTCAACATTGATTGCATGTTGAACCTCAGTACTAAAATAATAATCATGTGCCTTCAAACCAATCCTGACTTATGGTGACCTTTTTCTAGGTTTTCCAGGTAGAGGATATTCAGAAGTGGTTTACTATTCGCTTCTTCTGAGGGGGCATCCTGGGATTGTACAGCTTGCCCAAAGGCACCCAGGCTAGCTCTTCTTCCCTGGAGGCACAGTGGGTAATCAAACTTCCAAGCTATGCCTCCGCAGCCATATAACTAAACCACGGAGCTATCCAGCCAGCTGCAGTATAGTATTGTCAAATTAAAAATTGCCCGTTCCTCAGCCTTTTGTACATGTAACACTCTAGTTAAATAGGGCATTAACATTTAGCTTCCAGAAGAAAAAGGTGCAGTTTGATATGAAAAGGTGCAGCCATGTGTAAAAACAATGAACACACTGATGCAAGACTTCTTAGTGCCTTTTTAAGGGGAGTAGGCAGGTAGGATTAGATTCCATACACTGAGTTCTTCCAGAGTGGTGTACTTTGTGGTTGCAGTCCTATGCACACCAGAGGATAAGTCTTGGTGGGGTTTATGAGTGAAAATCTGCAAGATGGTGCCGCTCATGATTTAATAGAACCAGCTAGTAAATACATGCAATTCATGGGAAAGCTTTATTACCTTTATAATATTCAGCATTGGCTACAGATTGCACTATAACCAGAATTGTGGTGTTCCATTTGTTTTGCACTAAATAGAAGTTATTTTCAAAACAGTTTCCTGCATTGAATAATGATATTCAGAAAATAAGCTACAATCAAGCAAAGCAGTGCTGGTGGGAGAAAGCTCTTTATACGCCACTCTTTCCTGCGTCACAGTATGAAGGTAGTAGCTGCTTTAACTTCTTTGTTATAGATTGAGTCCTTTACAGCAGAGATGAAATAAAAGATAAATGTAGATAAACACATGCTTTGCATGTTTTAGCAATGTCTGGGAAATTAGTCTTCTGGAAAATGTTTCTGCTAATGGGCTTGCTGTGCTTTTTGATCAGTCACAGTAGTATAGAAAAATTCTTGGTGCTTTTCAGAATGATAGAGGTAATCAGCTTATTGGGTGGTTACATTCACCCCATGATGAAAGATGACAAGATTCCTAGTTGTCCAGATCTAATGTTCGCTACTGTCTAACAATTTGCACCATCACCACACAGTAGTGTGAATGTGGACTGAAATGGAGCCAAAGCTGGACTGCTGAGATGAAAAGAAGGAAAGCTGTCTGCCCGCTCAGTAGATATCTGGTCTTGGATAATCAAGCATTACTTCATATTAGGCAGCTGTTCATTCCAGCTAGGATATTGCAACAGTATTATTTTTATTTATTAATATAAATATTGTCTGATGAACTTGTATCACTCTAGCTATAGATTGGCTAATGAACACATGACATTTTGGCAGAAATCCAGTAGTAGATTGCAGCTAGAGTGGGCCCAGTGAATCAGTAGAACTTATATAGTTATTAACTCCGCACTGATTTACTGAGCCTACTTTAGTTGTGACTTGCTGCTTGATTTCAGCCTTTATGTTGAACTTTTAACTGTGATCCATTTCACAGATTTGCCAAATTTTTGCTTTCAAGTTTTTAAGATTACCTTTCTCCCTCTGTACATCAGTCAAGAAGTTCACTATATGTAAGTTTTAATGTTTAAACATACCTCTATGTGTTCTGGTGCATACCTAAAAATGTAGCGCAATTTAGGTTTTGGCTACCGAGGTTCTCTCTTTTTCTTTCTTTTTCTTTTTCTTTCTCTCTTTGCTTGTTTTAAGAAATTTTACTACAAAAATGAAGAAAATTGCCAATTATCCCATAGTGACATCACTGATTGTATTTACTTATACTTCATTTCAGTAAAGTTTGAGGAATAAAAATGCTATTTTCATTACGTAGAACACTACACTGCATAACTGTTACCTAAAATAATGTATTTAACAAATGCTATTTGTATTTTACTGTTGCCACAGAAGTTATTAATATTGATGTAATGGATCTGTTTACCAAAACATGAATTCAGTATATATAACCTTTTGATGTGGACGCTAAAAGAGCCAGCACCACTGTTGTCTCTGTCACATAAAAAGCAGTTGAAAATAAATAAACATCAATAAAACATATAATCATCTTAGACCTGAAGAGCTGGAAGAGACCTTATAGATCACTGAGTCCAGCTCCTGCCAGGGAGGCACAGTGGGGAATTAAACTGCCAACCTCTGGCTCTGCAGCCAGATACCCAAAGCACTGAGCTGTGGTTAAAGAACACTCAGTTCATAAAATTTACTGTGGCAGAACTACAGTCTGTTAGGAACTAAATGCTAATTCAGTAAACTAAAATTAATGGATATTTATACTGTGATAAGCATTTTGGGGAACTGAATGTATTTATGCCACATGATTCATGTGCTGGCCAAAATAGATCAAAACAGGTCATTTAAAAATGGGTGATTAACCCTATTGTCAATAACCTGTGAGTCTTCAATCCATGAGCAATTAAATCTGATAGTTTACTTCATACATCTTCCTCCCATTTTTCAACTCTGCTAAAAAATATTCTTTGAGCTCCCAGCTGCAATGTCTGTAGTCCACTTTGTAGCTTTGTAGTCCACTGCTTCTTGCAAGCGATGTTGAGTTTAGCATTTATATATCAAGGAATCTGGCCATTGTTAGCAGTATTATACGTATGTATACCTTCTGGTAGTGTACATTATAGATGATTGGATGAGCTGTATGAGATTTTGGCCATCAAATAACATGGTTTATCAGTTCCATACATTGTAAGACAGTACAGTAATCTCCCAATTTATGACAACTCAACAGCTTATTTCTTTCTTGGAGATAAACCACTGGACAGTGGCTAATATCCAAGAAAGACTAGACTATGTAACAGTATGATGGAAACATTTTATTATCTTTGTTGTTATGTGCTATCTAGTCATTTCCAGCTTATGAAGACTCTATGAATTAATGATTTCCAAAAGGTCCTGTCATTAACAAGTTGCTTGGGCCTTGCAAGCTATAAGGATGTGGCTTCCTTTGTTTATTCTGTCCATCTCCTGTTAGCTTTTCCTAGTATCTGCCACTTTTCCTAATATTATTGTCTTTTCTATCGAGTCCTGTCTTCTCCTTATATGTCTAAATTTTAATAGCCTCAGTTTAGTTGTTCATGCTCCTAATGGGAGCCCAGGCTTAGTTTGACTTGGAACCCACATATTTATCTTTCTGATGGTCTATAGAATCCTTAAAGCTCTCCTCCCATACCAATTTTTGAATGATTTTTTCCATTCAGCTTTCACATCTATATGTAGTAATTAGGACTGCCATACAGTGTTGCCTTGCTTGATGAGGATAATCCATTTCAGCGAAATCGCTGTAGAGCGAAATCCTCGTCAAGTGAAATAAAAAAACCCATTGAAATGCATTAAAAACCGCTCAGTGCATTCCAGTGGGCTAAACACCACAGTGTCCAGCGAAGGTCCTCTATAGGGCAGCCATTTTCCGATGCCTATGCAGCGAAAAATCCGTCCTAAAGCACAGGGGGGAGCCATTTTACACAGCGGGCGGCCATTTTGAAACCCGACGATCAGCTGTTTGATTGTCGTAATGCGAAGAATCGGTTCCCGAAGCAGGGAACCGATCGTCAGGAAGTGAATTTTGCCCATTAAAACATTGTTTTGCAATCGCAAAAGCAATCGCAAAAACCTCATCGTCAAGCAGATTCATCGTTTAATGAGGTAATCGTTAAGTGAGACACCACTGTATTAGGAATTATCTTGGCCTTGGTGTCCAGCAACACGTCCTTAGACCTAAGGATCTTTTGTAATTCCTTCATGGCTCTCTTCCAAGTTTCAGTTGTCTTCTGGTTTCCCATCTGTTGTCTCCATTTTGATTGATGATTGAACCAAAGAGTACAGACTCTTCAAGAGTTTGATTGCCTTTATCTGTTATAAAGTCTGATAATATAACCTGTTAGTTCAACTGATTTTTATCCAAAATATATTGGATTCTTCAATTATATTTTAACACTACCTCTTGGAAAATAAGCTACATCACCACTACATAACATGGTACTTCAAGGAACAGTATTTTTCAAAGCAGTAATTAAAATGTAGCTTCAGTTGTAAGTTATAGGAATTTACATTGTAATTTTAATTGATATATTACATATATATACTGTACAGTGGTGCCTCGCTTAACGATGATAATCTGTTCCAGGAAAATCACCTTTAAGTGAAAACATTGTAAAGTGAAAATAAAAACCCCATTGAAACGCATTGAAACCCGTTCAGTGCATTCCAACGGGGTAAAAACTCACTGTCCAGCGAAGATCCTCCATACGGCGGCCATTTTCGCTGCCTGTATAGCGAGGAATCCATCCCTAAACACAGCGGGGAGCCATTTTAATCACCCGGGCAGCCATTTTGAAACCGCCGATCAGCTGTTTAAAAAAACATCGTTTTGCGAAGAATCGGTTCCCAAAGCAGGGATCACAATCATCACAAGCGATCATCACAAAGCGAAATTCCCCCATTTAGACCATCGTTTTGCGATCGCAAAAAGACCGTCGTAAAGCAGATTCGTCGTAATGCGGAGCAATCGTTAAGCAAGACACCACTGTGCATTGATAGAGGAGTTTAAAGTATTAATTCTAACATTTTGTGGAATTAGTCCAAACAGTTTTACAAAGAAGAGTAACAATTTAAACAGCTGGGCTGCAGTAGGAAATAAATCAGAAAAATGAAGGCAAGCTTTGTTGAGCTGTTTTCTGCCTGATATGTGCAACCAGGCTGTTTTCCATTTTTGCCATGGTTTGTTCTTTTTAGCGTGCAAGGGAAGGAGCATCATGGTGTTCTTTGATTTTTCTGGTTGATAGATGATTAATTCTGCTTTCATTCTTTCTCTGATCCCTTCTTTCATTTCTATTTTGTTCTTCTGTATTAGTACTTAAATCAATTAGAATTTTCAATTTGATGTCACAAATTCAATTTCTGTCACAAAGGACTTGAAAAACTTACTGTTACCTCATTCATTCTCTAAACTGGGGGGAGAGAGAGTGAGAGCCCATAACTGTAATTGCCTTGGCAAATGATGTTGCTGAAGCCTTTTAGCAGAAGTATAAGTGTCTCTCATATTAACTGTAGAAAGAAAGATTTAAAGAAACAAGATACCTCAGGGAGGATTACAAGCAAGCTGCCCTGGGAGATGTAAGTTTTCTTAGGAGGCATAGTTATTTGGTGATAGAGCCTAATGGGCTGTGAGGCTAGACCTCTAAAGAGGCAATCAGGCAGTATCATTGTTTTTGAAAGTAGTGTCACCTAATATGATATGGTACCGTTTGAGGTTGAAGAAAGTAAAGACTAAAGAAGTTTGTCGTTAAGGTTCCATTTGCACTTTAAAAGCATTTAATAAATTTTACTCTTGTAAGAAATGTCTGTTTCCCTCCAATTAATTTGAACATCTGCAGTTCTTTCCCTTACATTTTCTGTTAACAAGTGCCATGGGGGCATGGGAACAAAAGGAGAGAGGCCTACAGAGGTTTATGTTATCGGAAAAGAGTTGATATGTGGGCAGTTACATTGCTGTCTCCATGCTGTGGTTTGGGTAGGGAAAGGTCCTACTTCTCCAGTAAACCTGTGCTGTTGTCAGCTGTACAAATGGATCTGGGTGGCTCTGTTGCTTCAGTGGACATGTGTTACAGTGATTAACAATATGAGTTATCTTTACACACAAAAATAGTAAGAGTGTGTGTCTGAGCATTCCATGTTCTCAACAGTTCTAGACCGAAGATAGGCCACTGGGTGCCTTTCAAATGTTTTGGATTCCAACTCTCATAATCCTTGGCAATTTTGACCAGGGCTTTATGGGAGTTCAAAATGTATGGAAGACACCAGCTTGTTCCAGGCATGTTTTGTTGGCTTATTTGTTTACCTGTTCACTTAGTTGCCTGTGGTGGCTCTCAAATGCACAAAGCAATAAAATCTTTCAGTTGCACCCTTTTTTCCAGTAATGGCGCTTTCCTTTCTTTGTAAACAAGGCTGTGACTTAAAATGTCCTATATGGCTTGGAAAGCACACATGGGACTTACTTTTGCCCTGGGTTCCATTTTAATACTAAAAATCATACCTTCCCCGGACAACAGAGAGGTGCAAGTGACTGTGCATCATTTTGTCTACATGTATGTAAAAATTAAGCCCTTGGTAAATCTGGTAAAAAGGTACTCTGCACAAACAACAGACAGCCAAGGTTAACAGCAGTTACAGGAAAGGCAAACGGATAATTGTTGCATTCTCAGATGCTTTACAGGTGCTCTGCTTCTGGACTCAAGACACATCCATGTACCCTAAACCTCAGCTCCACTGCTGTAAATGGGGATTAAAAAATGAAGCAGACTACATAGGTCAAGGGTGCAGAGAATTCTTCTGGGAGGGGAGGTCCATATCTCAGAATGTAACTCCTGAGTATCCTCTTCTTTCCTTCCTCTGCACCCCCTGCACCACTGGAATATACCCAGACTATTAGCTGAACAGCCTTCCTTCATTTTGGTAAATTACACTGATCCCATAAATAAAATATTAGATAAGTGTGGTGCTTCCACAGATGAAGTTCCAACAATATACTATGAAAGTTAGAAGGTCATCTGCCTTTACTGAACAGCAAACTATCTGTTCCCCTTGTTGTTAATGCCATCCAAGTTCTAATGCTCCCTTTCTTGCAGGATCAGCCTCAGGAAACCTTGCAGCCAAACAGAAACTTGAGAGGGAATTTCAGTGCAGCTCCCTCAATTTGACAAGTGAGTATTTTGTCCAGAATAGCATGATCTTAACCCAGTAGAGGACTTACCAGGTGGATACACTGGGAGGGCAGACAGGTGAGTGCATATTGCTTGGGAGGGCAGGGAGATTTTCTGAGGCCTGTGGATTGGAAAGGCTCCTAAGAAAAGGACCCTTACTCCATTGCCAGTACTGTACTCATTGTTCAGGTTACATGTAATATCTGGCTTTGTGCATTGCCTTCCCCATACTTGTCTTCTCTCTCTCCCCAGGTAGCCAGGCTGTCATTCAGCACCGAAAGAAGCACGAATGTTCTCCAGACACTATACCATGCAAGCCACAAGGGAGATCTATAGCTTCAGCAGTTGCCAGTGAGAAGCTAGTTGTTTCTATATGGGATTGCTACTGCTTTATTCATGCAGGGTTTCTGTATTTTTCAAAAAAAAGTGCAACAGGCAGAGGGCAGTAAGTGCAACAATACATAGCATAGGGATGTATTGTTGGGAAAAGTTGCCTGTTGTGTAACTTTGAAGAGCACAGCAATCCTGCAAACAAAAATGTAGCAATCCCTACTCTATGTTGCTATCAAATTCACCCTGAAAATCAATAAAAGTGGTGACTGTTTTAGCTTTTCTCAGCAATTTCTCATTTCTGAGAGTTGAGAAACTCTCATTTCTGATGTCTTCACAGGACATATAGAAGGGAGTTTCTGACACAATAGTCCACATGGGTTGGCAATCTGCATCTTTCTTAAAGCTTTTATGACTGTAGCACCAAGAGAAGGTGGCCCCAACAATGCCCTGTTCTGTGATGTGTTACTTTTTCTTCTCCATAGAAACAATACTACCATATTGCAGTGATGCGGAGAGAGAAATAATTAGAAATTAAGAAAATTGCTTGTTATAATAGTGAGTAAACATTTCTCCAGCCTCAGCCCTCTGTGGGTTAGATAACATCACAGAGCATAACATCATAGAGCCATTAAATTGTAGAACTGGAGGGGACTCTAGGAGTCATCACATCCAACCCTCTGCAAAAGAAGTAAAATTTACAGCAAAAACATTACTTAATATCTCCAATGAGAGAAGCATCGTGACAGAGAGCTATTTGATAGTGGAATGGACTGCCTTGGAAGGTGGATTGTCAGGATGTTTTTCCTAATCAAGACCATTACTGTTCACCATGGCATTACTGGAACCCCCTCTGAAACACTGGGCTCCTCCCTTTGCTTCATCTGGAAACCCAGCTTTTGTCTCTCCTCATGCAAGAATTGTGTTTTCAGCTGGCCCTTGCAAATACTGGCTTAAATTAGCCCTGCCTTGCACTCTCTCCAAACCAGCTTGAAACAGGGGTTGAATGTAGCAAGCTGTAGAAGTCAAGCCAAAAGACTACCTGAAAAGGTTTTTTGGTCCCTACCCATCAGTCTGGGTGACATGCTGAGTGAAAACACAGGTTCAGTTATGCTTATGGGAGGCTCTGTATGGTCTCTTTTTGTTGCCAATGTATAATGAGGAGAAATGTGGGCTCTTGCATGCCCAAATTTTTTTCATTTAATAGCAGTTTTACAGAGGACTCCTCGACTGATCTGCTTTGTGGCTGTGATTTGCAAACCTTTTGCAGGGGGTTGAATATGAGTGTATCATGGGCTTAGCCTTAGACAGACTCCAGAAATTCCAGAATGAGCCTCTGTGTTTATATATATATATAATGCCGCCCACTCTACCCAGAGGTCTATATATATAAGAATACACTATACAAAACAACAGTAAAAACTAGAAGCTTCCAAAATGACATACACAACTCTCAGATGCATCAGATGATATTGTTAAATGAACACAACTCTTCATAGGTCAACATGAGAGGCTTACATATTGCTCAAAGAATCAGGATAATTATTACAATACTGAATAAAAGGGAGCCAGTTAGAACTGAAAATTGGTCTTTAGTGTTGTTCCTGTCCCCTTTCCAATGTAAAGTTATTATAGTTCATACTAATGGCAAGGGGCCCAGAAGTTTGTGGTAGCAACATACCATCATGTTTCAGAGATGGAAATGAATCCACAATTCCCTTTAACAGTTGCATTTTTTGTTCTCATTGAGCAATCAGCCAGGCACAATGTTGGCTTCTACAGCCTTACTTGGCTATATGCATTCTTCTTTCTGTGGGGAACATGTCTTAATCTATGGGAGAGATGATACAGACACCGATATTCAAGCTGTATGCAGTTTGGCACACTTGTGTTTTATTGTAACAGGACTGAAACTTCTTTCCTTATGGTCTCTTACTTGTGGGCTCCGTGTGTAAGCTCCCTTCCCCCTTCCTGTAGGCTGGCTGCTATGGTTTAAATAAAAAGTCCTTATTTTACTACTCAGTCTTGGCTGTTCCCAAGAAGATATTGGTTTGTAAGCTTCTGCCTGAGGAATTTTGGCCTGTAGAAGACAGTTAATGCCCTCCTCTTTGCAGAGCGATTGGAAGTTCTCATAAGGCTCTGTCAGCCCTTTGTGTGTGCATGCACATGCACACTATATGTGGAATAGGATATGGACTGAGTTGTGTAGCAGCAGCATAGTATCTTCACCATTACTGCATGTTCACCATGCCTTCTGTATGCAAATAATAGAAAGAACACAACCACTGGCATAGCAAGATCATAAAATTGATTCGCCTGAAGTGCCTTAGTTGCACGTATAACAAACTTGGAGAGGTGAGAATAGGATATAAAAAAATTAGATATATAGGAATCTGTATTTCCAAATCGCCATTTTGTTTTTAATTGCTAATGAGTAATGGAACTGGCTATAGAAACCCATTTCTTTCACTGTGTTATACTTCCTGCCTTTTGGCATTAATTTCCAAACCAATGGCTTTTTATATGGCACCTAGTAAAGAACTTATTCACTCAATTTTTGGTTCTTCTTGCTATTTGGTTCTTACTGTAACTTGTAATGGTTTTATTTTACTCTCTCTCCCATTCTATGAAATGAAACTTTTACAGAATGCTGTTCACATGTTAAGCGAGAGAATGGTGTTGGAGAATTCACAGATATAAAAGAAATGTCACACAGTGAAGAACATCTAGATTTTAATATGGTAAGTTTTTTATTGTTTCAGTTTTTATTTCATCAGAGCCATTGTTACTGGAAATGAGATAAAATCTAGAAGAACAAATTTTGCCCACTGTAAGGCTGTCCATTTAATTCATTAACCTGCCCTGTTTAATTCAACCTGAATACAACTGCTGTATTTGAAATAAATAGTTTTTGTAGAATGAAACCATATTACATTCTTTATTTCTTCAGTTTATATTCCACTCACAATTAGTACCAAGGCACTGCTCTGGGTGGTTTTAAAAAATATAATACAAAAAAGAAAGAAGATAAAAACATTAAAAACAACTACAATTAACACGTAAAAACAGATGGCACAGAACAATCATATAAAACCACAGTAGATGAAGGAAGGGGAACAAAAAAGAAAAACAGCAGTGTCTTAATTGCCTCCTAAATATAACAGAGAGGGGGCTAGGCAGAGTTCCTCTGGAAGCTGGTTCTGTAAGGCTGGAGCCACTTCGAAGAATTATGGTTTCATTTAAGGTTGTGATGAGATTGAGTTGGGAAGTGGTCTTTAATAACGAACGTTTTTCATTGAAGGCATTCTCAAAATTTAAAGGACCAGGACCATTTGTAAGCAGAAGAAAAGTGCTTCTGTGAACATTTGGTTGCAAAGAAAAGGTTGCTGATTTTTCTTTTGAATTGCAATCTTTCACACCACATGGATACCTCCTGTAGAGCCAGACAGTCCAGATGTGGAGAGAGGATCACTCCATTGTGTACTTGGAATGCTCTTGGGATCATGGCCAAGATTTGCAGTTCTGATTTAGCAGTCCCAGTGGGTTGGATTCAAATTGCTTGCAGAGGGAACCTGATTTCACCAAAGGTGTTCTGTTGGAATCAGGGCAGGGCAGTGATTCCAATGACCTATTCCCCAGTGCCATTTCCCATCTTCACGGTGGTTCCAGAACCACATGAACAATGTAGGACATAGCACTATCAAATTACCACCCTCTTCCTTTCCTCTCAGTTCCTGCATTGCTCAGAGCAAGTGTGGATTCATTTATTGGTTTTATAAATAAATTCACTGTACAGAAAACATGAAAGACCTTGGGTTTTTTGAAAAATCATTTCATTATCCTCAGAAGATGTTACATTGTTCTATTTTTGCAAAGCCATACTCAGCATTGTCATTTTAACATTTTAAAATGCAAACCTCTAGGTTTCCTCTGTACATGAAGCAAGATGTGCAAATCCTAGAAGTCCTGAAACTAAATCAAATGGCTTTAGGAAGAAGTTATACTCCAGTGACAGCTCTGGTTCTGAAGGCACGGCATCAGAAGGTGGAAATGGATGGGCAGACCCTTGTGAAGAGGAGCTTTTCTCTCGAACTCATCTATAAAAACTGCAAGAGTATAAAAATATTGTGTAAGATTAGCATGAGATGGAAAACTCTTCAGGAGGGCCTGTAAACTCAGCAGTGAATTGAGCAGTAAATTGAGTTCCCCTTTCAGCTAATGGATTCAGAAATGTATTTATCTTTCTCTTCTTGATATTTTATTTTCAATAGTTGGGATTCCGGTCCCATTGAAGGCTTTTTCTCCAAACTGTTAGCTCCTTGGCTATTTGGACTTAGAGTAGATTGTGTTGTCAAATCAAGAATGGATGTGCATGTGATTGTCCTGGTAGTATCACTGCTCTTTTGCATCCTAGCTGCAGTTACTTTTATTTTTGACTGTAGCCCTATCAGTATTACTATCTTACTAGCATTGCAGTGTCTACAACTATTCAGAGATTTTATCTTTTGACACATTTAGGCTTTTAAGATTTGGGAGATAAATACTTAACACTGTAATCTATCAGTGCCTTTCTGAATGTGAGAGGAAAGCATGTATGGCTTCTCCTGTCTTTTAAGATCTTACAATGTTGGAATAGGAATATTAGGGCTGTGCTTTAGAGACTTTCAGAAACTGTGTTTTCTATTCTAGGATCTCTCCTCTTAAGTATAAATTAACACAGTTGACACTAGTGTTTGTTACCTTCTTGCTGACAGAGATTTTTGCAGGCATGAGGGAAAGAAACATACTTTTCTCTCCTTTCCCCTCTTTATTTTCAAGGCTCAGTGTTTCACCTTTTTTCAAGGCTCAGTGTTCTGAAGTAAATAAGTAAAATGACACTACAGCCTAATCCCAAGCACACTTATTTCAATGGTACAAATTACTTGCAAAGTGTACTTAGGATTGTATTATTAATTCCCCTGGAGAAATTTATGAACAGTGAGCTTTGTCATAAGCTGCAAATATTTGGCCTGAATGACTGAAACATTCTTAAGAGTTGATGTTCAATATTTTATATGCAGAGGGTATATCACTCAAAATGAATCCAGTGGCTCCTGCAGTTAGCTACTATTGTGGCTCTAATTTAGTAAAACTTGTAGCTAACTTTGTGTCCTGAGAGAATGTTAGGAGTAAGTTGTGGGTGGGAGTGGGGAACATGACTTACGTGTGTGATTGCAGTAGTGATTGTTGCTTTATGTGACCTGCTCTTAAAAGTTTATTTTAACATAGTCAATGCATTTGTCAAGTTGTAACTGCAAGACTATCAACTCCCTGTGCTACTAATGCATTATGCAAATCATAAGAGCCAGAAGGAGCAATATTGGTTTATACCATTACATTGTTTTTTAAAAAATGATCTATACAATAGCAGCATGTTAAAGACATCAGAAAGTGCAGAAAGTTTACTGTTGACTTGAAAATGCTAAGCCATTAATTTTGATAGGCAAGAAACTCCTAACAATTATAGTTGTTTGAAATGGTAAGCTGAACTGGCTTTGAAATTTTGTTCTGTGCTAGTGCGCTGAACTGAATATGAGTTTATTGCCTTTTCTTAATCGATATAACATGACTTAAGATCTAGGGTATCGACATCTTGTAAGGTTGCATGTATCCTTTCTGTTGAAACTTTGACTCCATCGGCTTGATTTGTACTTTCCAGGGAAATGTTACTATTAACTGCTTTTAAACTACATTATTTTAGCATTCATACAACAAATCTTTACAGTGTTGGGTTTGTTTGTTTTTCATTTGAGAATCTGGATAAGTTTTTATATATTTACTTTCTTTTGGAGCTTCCTTCAAAATGTTGTATAGCAAATGCACTGAGAATAATGTCTGTCAACATAAAAGCAAAGAGAACGAAACTCATAAATCCTAATGATTTAACTTAACTAGTGAGTCATTATTAGAATAATGAATGACCAAACAAGAACTTTTACCAGGGGAAACCCACACCTTTAAACCTGGCTTATTTAGATAGATATCTCAGTGAAATGGGTGGTTCATTGCATTATGATTTAATATTTTAACATCTTTGAAAAATGTACGTTACATGTTTGGGCAATAACAAATAATATTTATTTGTTCTGTAACTGAATGGATAAAATTCTGAAGCTTTCCAGTGAGAAGGTTGATGTGTGAGTTTGCGTTTTCGTTTCTCTACAAGGATAATTTAAAAGTGGAGATGCTGAAATGCACTGTGGTATGAAGCGCATTGCATATCCATAGCACTGAAGTATCAGTTTTTCATTCCTGGGCTGAATTTGTTTCTACTTTTTTGCTTCAAGTGGTTGTATTGTTCTGATTTCACATACACCAGAGTAACTGAATTTGTTTTTTGTGGAGTTACTTAACACCAAATAAAAGATAAAAGGACAGATACATTGTTTTGTTTGTGTTCAACATTTTTTTAAAATCCCATTTTAATTAGCATTGCTAGAGATTTGAGCTTGCAAGTACATAGAAGTTCCACAGTCGAAGGCACATCCCTCTGAACTCCTAGGAGTACTTGGAGCCTTGCTTATTAATCTCTTCTGTAGACTCTAGATATACAAGATGAGTCTGGCTTCTTTGAACTACTTGCAATTTGAAAAATGGCAGAAGAAAGTTTTGTTCCTTTCTGGATAGCTAGTTGCAGGAGCAAAAATCCCAATTTGAATGGCTTTAAAAATGACCCAAAATTCCAAAGGAAGATGGAATCAGTTGTGTTGTGGTTACTGCTGCCAGTTAGGTGCAACAGAAGAGAAGGCCACTGGACAAAGACTTTCAATGCCTTGAAAATAAGTTTACATTTACATACAATAAATGTTTACATTGTTCGAAAAATGGACAATATTTGAAGTCCATAGTTAAATTGCTGGGAGAGAAAAAATTGCTGTTCCTTTTTAAATATGCTCACCTGATGGGTGAGAAGATAATACAGTTTGGTGCTAGACAGCTAAAAGTGAGCCGAGAGCCACTCACTGCCTGCTTGTGAAATATCTCAAACCTTACTTGATCTGGGTGTTCTTGGGGAAACTCCAAGATAATTGCTAGTAACAGTAATAATAATGAGAATTATCTAACATGGCACAGTAAGATGAACTGAAGTGTGAATGTCTAGCTTGGCATACAGTAGAACTTTCTGGTCTTGGTGAACACTGGACCACCCAAAATCTGCCAGAGGTTTATTGTTACTGCAGCTTGGTGACCAACCACTGCAGTTGTCACCAACGTTAGCATCAGTAAAATCCTGTTTGCATCTCACCCTTCTATCTGAGGAAAAGTGTTGCTTACTTGCCAAGTGCTAGTGACCTGATACCATTCTACTTGTTAATGTAAGACAGGATTTAGGGGTTTTGGTATAAATTATTTCTCCCTCAGAAAATTGTGAAAGTAAATGTTTGATAGATTTAGTCTGAGAACATTAGCACTAAGATTGGTTTCAAAAAAGCACCAAAAATCACAGTGATTTATTTATTTAAAATATATTTTCTCCAAGCTGGCTTATAACAATAAAAGGACAATATATAAAAGCTAAAAACAAACAGTAAATATACAAGTATTAAAAAAGAATTAACCAAGTATATTAAAATGGTAAAAAAAATCAATACTAAAAACATTTAAAGCAGCACAGTAAGGTAAAGGTAAAGGTTCCCCTTGACATTTAGTCCAGTCCTGTCCAACTCTAGGGCGCGGTGCTCATCCCTGTTTCCAAGCTATAGAGCCACCGTTTGTCTGAAGACAGTTTCCATGTCCACGTTTAAAAAAGCTACTGATTTCTATTTGGTGCAGTGGAGAGTACGCATGTGACTAGACTATTGGATGGCACCATGTCCACGTTTTAAAAAGCTACTGATTTCTATTTGGTGCACTGGAGAGTACACATGTGACTAGACTATTGGATGGCACCATGGTGTGAGAGAAAACAGTTTCCTGGATTTTTCAGCAAAAAGGTTTGTACCAGCAATGCTGGGAAAAATTCCTTCCCATGTCTTAGCATTAATGGAAACTCTGTGCCACCAGTCTCTCTTCTATGCCTGTGCTATTTAAAATTGCATAAAGCTGCTTAGTGGGATCAGCTAAGGTTTCATGGGTGTTCTGTCAGTATAGTGATGACATAACTGCTCACCTGAAATTGGTAAAGGAGTGGGATGAGGGACAATAAACTGAAGTATTAATATCAGAAGGATAGAGATTCCATTGATATGCGATTCATCTGCATTGGGAGTGATTATGTTTGACCTGTTTCAGGTGAGGTTTCACTCTTCCAGAAATACTTGGTTTGCAGTTTGAAGGTGCTATCGGACTGTGAAAGTCAGGAGAACTTGAGTGCGCCGTCTCCTGAGGAAAGAAACGTCAGAGAGGAAGGTACCCGCATTAAGAAAACCACCGGACAAGAGGGAGTTAAGACAGAAGTATGCCTGACTGAGGAAGGGAAAGGAAGAGAGGAGGAGCAATGGGTGGAGGTGTGGGAAGCAGATATAAAGGGGGAGGAAAAGGTGCAGGAGTTTCAGGTTACAACGGATAGAGAACGAGAGAGGGAAAAAGGGAGAGTGGAGAAAGTGAGGAATCTGTTGGATGATTTCCCAAACTTGGAAGTCAGTGGACTGTTGCCTGACCCTGAGCCCTCCCACGGAGGAGTGGTTATCCAAGAGACAACAGAATGGACGGTGGTGGTTTACCCTCGTGGCCAGGGTTCTTGGAGGAAGGTGATTCAGCTGGATGCCACGTTCAACAAACCACCACCGGAGGGAGATTGGGCGTGACACCCTTGTGTCAACGGTGTGGGACAACGGTGAGGAGTACCCTCCTCAGGAAGCCTACAGACAAGGAGCGATTTGGTCTGGCTCCCCGGTTCTGAGCAACAAATATTCTGTTAACCAATATGGGCAGGTGAAGAAGCAGTTTGATGGTTGGGACAGTTCTGAACCCATAGAAGTTGTTGTTGACACACCGTTGTTAAGGGTTAATAAAGTTTTGTTCCAAGAAACCAGACTCCGTCCTTTCCTGCCTATCTCAGCGAACCGCCACAAATGACGAGAGAAACTTTTGACACGGACCCATCCCTTTCCTTGGAGGTTCAAAGAGCCTCTGGAAGCAGTTTTAGTAATTGAGGTAAGTGTGCCCTGGACATCAAATGGGCAGTTACTCACATCCTGGTACCATCCTGATGGAATAACATCCCTTGGACATGGTGGAAACAACATTTATTGCTAGATTACTAATTGGGATCAGATGTGTGAGGCGCATTTTGTCAAATACGAAAACACTTGCAGTGGTCCCTGCAATGTTGTTCTATACAAACCTTGCTGACTAGTGAGATCTTCCTCACGAGCTCTTGTTCATGTCCTTTCACCTGTTCACATAAGATGTGGCAACCAATAATCGTCCTTTCAGTGACAAACTCCTTGGTTTCCCAGGATTTTGAAGATGCTAAATTCTGTGTGTTTTAATTTAGTTCTTTTGCCCTAATTACTGTGTTTTATAATTCATGTTTAAATTTGTTTGAGAGAGCAAAATAATAATTAAATATTTGGGAAAATTGGCAGGACTTCTAAAGAGAGCTGCTGGCATTTGGAAACACCCTTTATGAAGGGTTCCAACTCTACGCATGGGGAAAAAATACACAAGAAAATTGAACTGTATACAGGAGTTCAGCAAGAAAGCTCACAAAGCAGGTCACTGGGCATAGTCATTATTTATGTTTAACGCCTCTAAAAATGGGTATATGATGTATGGCTGAGGAGACCTTTCAATCAAGTAAATGTTCTTGCAATGATTTGCTATGGAAACTCTTAATTGTTGCAGGTTCTGTTTGACCTTACATTTTAATGCTCTCAGTCTTCCTGCTTGTACACTACAACAGTGTGCACAAACATAGGACATGTACATTTCTTACATGTCATGGAAGTAATGGGCTACTTACAGTTCCTTTCAGGCCAGTTTTTAAGTAATATGGGTTTCAGGAAAACTATATTTATTAAACTTTTAAATATTTTGAAAGTGTTTTTAATCTTAATATATGCTTAACTGTTTTAATATAGTTTCTATTATATTTTTAAACTTGATAATTGTAGATTTAATTGTTGTGAGCCACCTTGGGTCCCCTATGGGGAGAAAAGCGACATATAAATAATATAAACAAACAAGCAAACAGACAGGCCTACCTACCTACCCCAAGTCTTGAAGCCATTAATCTATAAAAATGTAGCCCTAATATATCTCTTGGCTCCGCAACCAATTCCTTGCCATCTCTTTCATCACTGCCACAATCTTTGCCAGTGTGTGGCCTCACCTGTAACTTTGGCCTGAAAAAAAGGCCCAGCAATATAAAGAAGTTACTTACCTGTAACTCTTGTTCTTTGAGTGATCATCTGTGAATGCACACTAATGGGTTAATCTGTGCCTGAGCAGAGCAGCCTTGGAAGCTTCTATAGCCAATCACTTGGTGCCGGGTCCTCCCCTACACTGGCTATATAATTCCACCCCTAGCACCTATTCCTCAGTTCCAAGGAACCGACCACCGCTGCCCAGCATGCAATGGCACATGTGACGGACACCGGGCAGGGAGAGCCTCGTGGCGCAGTGGTTAAACCGCTGTACTGCAGCCTAAACTGTGCTCACAACCTGGGGTTCAATCCCAGGTAGCTGGCTCAAGGTTGACTCAGCCTTCTTCCGAGGTCGGTAAAATGAGTACCCAGCTCGCTGTGGGGGCAATGTGTAGCCTGCATAATTAACTTGTAAACCGCCCAGAGAGTGCTTGAAGCACTATGGGGCGGTATATAAGCAGCACACTTTCCTTTTTTTATATAATTCACAGATAACACTCGAAGAACTAGAGTTACAGGTAAGTAACTTCTTTTTCTCGTTTGTGGTCTCTGTGAATGCACACTAATGGGTGACTGGCAAGCGGACTAACCAAGAGGAGGGACATCACAAGAGTGCAGATGCCAGGACAGCTTGACCTACCACAGCCTGAGCCTTTGGACAGACATCCAGGCGGTAGTGCGAAAGGAAGGTAAACGGAATGGCGCATGTGGCAGTGCAGCAGACATCTACGATGTCCACTCCACGGAAAAAGGATGTTGAGGATGCTACAGCTCTAGTAGAGTGGGATCTCACAGATTTTGGAAGAGGAGTCTCTGCCAAGTTATAGGCAAGATGGATGGTCTGGACTATTCATCTAGAGATGTTCTGAGAGGAAGCCGGTGCTCCAAAGGAGGAGCCAGCAAAGGTGACAAAGAGATGTTGCGACGCACGAAAAGTGGTCGTGTGGTGCACATAATGACAGAGCACGCTTCACGTCTAGAGCACACAGGGCTGTCTCAGGAAGGACAGTTGGCTGGTTCAAATGGAAGGCAGAATATATCTTGGGAAAGAAGGTAAGGCCTGGCCATAAGGATACTTGCAGAAAGGAGGTTCTGCTCTTAGTGTAGCCAGTCCTCCAGCCCTATGAGCTGAGGTTATTGCCAGGAGAAAGGCAGTCTTGAGGGTTAGCAAGCGGAGCGATGCTGATGCCAAGGGCTGAAAGGGAGGCCTCAGAAGCCACTGAATAATTGAGAGACCACTGGTCTTTTAGGCAGGGTGCATATTTTCCAGGCCTCGGAGATATAGTTTGCACGCAGAATGGGCCATTCCCAGGTGAAACAGGTGCAGGAGAAACTGAAGGAGTGTGTCCAGAGACTTTGGCCTAGTAGGCAAATGTTGTCTTGATGCAAAGTGACAGAACACCTACCAATTATAGGAGTAGGACAAGGTGGTAAATGTTTGCGAGCATGATTGAGCATGTCTGTTACAGGCGGGGAAGTCTCCAAGCTGTCAGGTGGAGGGACTCAAGGTCTGGTTGAAATACCAGACCTCTGTCTCGAGACAGTAGATGAGGGACCAGCTGCAGCCTGATGTATTTCACAGCTCACGGGAGCAGGATCGAGAATCAAAGTAAGTGAGGCGACCAAGGGAGTATAAGTATGATGTTTGCATTCTCTTCTCAGATTCGAACGACAGTCCTTCGAAGAAGGGGAAAGGTGGAAACATTTAAAGGAGGCCTCATGAACAATTCATCAGGAAAGCCTCCCCTAGGGAGTTGCAGCTGATGCCGGCTTGGGAGCAGAACATGGCCCACTTGTTTGTCTGAGATGCAAAAACGTCTATATCTGGAGTCCCCCCAACATTGACAGAGGTAGTGAAAGATGCCATCATCAAGAGGTCGCTCGTGACGGCAGGACTGTAGTCTGCTGAGATGGTCTACTATGGAATTGTTCTCGCCTGCCAAATGTACAGCCACTGGATGAATGTGGCGAGCATAACACCATTCCAAAAGGTGGATAGTGTGAAAAAGAAGGCATAACGAGTGAGTGCTGCCCTGCTTGTTTATATAATAAACTACAATGGCATTTTCCGACGCGACCGAGACCACTCGACCACGGAGTAGGGGCTCGAAGGCCCGAAAAGCGTTGGTGATTGCCACGAGCTCTAGTACACTAATACGCAGGCCGGCTTTTATTGTGGACCAGCGGCCATGGACAGCATGGTGGTGTAGACAAGTTCCCCCAGCCTGATGGGCTGGCAACCGCAGTTCTCTGAATCAGCGGGATCAAGAGACCAAAGGGTCTCCTATCCATAGGTTGGAGGGGATTTCCACCAGTCCAGTTGTATAGCAAGCTCCGGAGCCACCTGGAGCAGCATGGATGGGTGGTCACAAGAAGAGTGAGAGAAACCAGGCTTGAAGGGACTGCATCCTCAGTCGAGCATGCTGTACCACAGCTGTAGTAGATGCCATCAGCCCCAGAAGTTGCTGGACCTATAGGGCAGGGACCAAGTGCTTGAAGAAAAGGAGCATAACAAACCATGCATTTTACAATCTTGTTGTCGGGAAAAAGCCTGCTTCAAGAAAGCATACAAAGTCACATTAATATAATTTACACGTTGGTGTAGGTTGCAAAGTCGACTGCTCTATGTTGACCTTTAGTCCTAACACTGACAAAACAGATAGTGTGAAGGACATGTGTTTACAAGCTTGTGACTTGGACTCAGCGACCATGAGCCAGTTATTCAAATATGGGTAAACAGTGATTCCTGCTACTGAAAACCTGAAAAAGTGTTGTTGGTCTGACCGGATGCTAGCATGAAAACGAGCATCTTACAGTTAGAACACAGTAAACCAACTCCCTGGACATAAGACAAAACAGATAGTGTGAAGGACATGTGTTTACAAGCTTGTGACTTGGACTCAGCGACCATGAGCCAGTTATTCAAATATGGGTAAACAGTGATTCCTGCTACTGAAAACCTGAAAAAGTGTTGTTGGTCTGACCGGATGCTAGCATGAAAACGAGCATCTTACAGTTAGAACACAGTAAACCAACTCCCTGGACATAACATGTGAATAAAAACACAGTAAACCAACTCCCTGGACATAACATGTGAATAACAGAGTCCAAGGAAGCCATACGGAATCTTCGTGGAGTAATAAAAGAATTCAGGCCTCCAAGATCAAGGATGGGCCAGAGGCCTCCATCCTTTTTATGCAAAGGAACAATAGCATCGTTCCCTAACAAGGCCTGAATTTCATCATCCAAAGGGGGTGGCCTTAACGTGGCCTGTAACAGAGGATACATCGAATTCAGTGGCATAGCTGGTAGCTATGATAGAGAATACCAAAGTGTTAGACGTGAAGGAGCACCAATTGGAAAGGGGTGTAACGGACTGATTGGTCAGTGACAGAGAAGTCAGGTGCATTAAGGAGACTGCTTGGTTTTGCAGTCCTGCCTTGGAACTGTCCAGTTGTTTGGATGCTGGTTTCAAGGCATGTCGAGCAGCAGTGTGCTTGCGCCAGCCCCATTGCCTCCTGGTGATATGAGAGGCCCTGGCTGTAAAGGTGTATAGAAGCTACCTGCAGAATGGGCAGTGCCAAATTCCATAAGTGGCGATGATAAGCACCCATGGCTGCAGAGTAATTGGCTACACGGCAGCCAGAGAATAAAAATGCCGACCAAATATATCCTTATCTGTGTTCTCTGTATCAGTTGGGAATATGAAGAACAACCTTCTAACAGTAAAGGAGGGTGACTATCTGTGGCAACTGATATGGGTGTAGGAAGACTGGTTGGAAAATCTTCCTCCCCCTCTGACTCTTGTGAGTCCCAACCTGAATAAGGTAAGTCCTTCTGACGATTAGGGGAGAAGTCTTTCTTAGCATGAGCCTGACCAAGATCAGTCTCAAGAACAGCCGCTGGGACGGAGAAGGCTGAATGGGTTAACAGCAGGTTCAGTCAAACCTGCAGACACTTTGCTGCCTGAGCCAAGTTCAAGGGAGCACTATTCCTTCAAGGCATAGGTGGAGGCACATAGCATTCCTCAGCCCATGGCTCAGAACAGTGCCAGATAGAGTGGGGAGGCGGTGGTGGCAGGAAGGGTGGCGGATTAGGCTCATAGCTCCTATCCAAAATATAGGACTGGTCCTGCTTGAACTTGTCAGCGTGACAGGACCCTATTGATGAGCAGGAAAAATACTTGGGTCTGCCTGACAGCCACAGAGTTCCTGTGACTGGGTCGATTCCTATGAGTCCTTTTCCTATGAGCCTACACTGGCACTGGCAGCTGAGGTGAGGCTGCAGGCTGCTGTGTGAACGAGCCCATTGATAAATGAGGGCTATTTCGCGCCAACTTATCAACCACCAAAAAGGTGCTACCCCAGTCAGGAATATCACTGACAGGTGGGGCTGGCAGTGGGAGCTGCAGGCTCCCTTTTTGAAAGGCAAAGCTAGGGCTGCCGTATGTTGCCAGGAAACTCCGGCCTCGGGACCCAGCTCTCTACAGAATTAGCAGCTTTGTGAATGAGCCCATTGCTGAAGAAGGGCTGTTCTCCGCCAATTCACCAACCTACAAAGAAGTTTTTACCCCAGTCAGGAATATCACTGACAGGTGGGGAAGGCGGCAGGCGCTGCAGGGAGCCCTTCTCCCAAGGGCAAAGCTAGGGCTACTGTATGTTGCTGGGATATCCCCAGCTTCGGCACCCAGCTCTCTGCAAGCTTAGTTCAGATGCTGTCCTCTTCTTCTTTGACACGAAGAGGAAGATTGCAAAGAAGTAAATGGAGCCGCTGTTGCTCTTGAGCCTGGAGGTAGCCTTCTTAACAAGTAAGAGAGACTTTAAAAAAAAAGAGAGAGAGAGAAAAGCCCTGAGGGCTCCACAGCCAGCTTTGTAAAGCTCTTACAAAGAACACACAATGCAGACTGGTGCTCTTCCCCCAGGCAGAAGAAACAACTTGGTACTGAAGAAAGAACAAGGGAGGTCAAAAGAAAGGAAAGGAAAGAATTGTTTTTCACTTGCAAAGTTCCTAACAAAGCTGCTGCTACAGCAGCGGTCAAAAAAAGAACTGAGGCACTAGGTGCCAGGGCCAGAGTTACATAGCCCGTGTAGAGGAGGTCCTGGCACCAAGTGCTTAAAGCTATAGAAGCTTCGGAGACAGCTCTGCTCAGGCGCAGATTAACCCATTCGTGTGCATTCACAGAGACCACGAAGGAGAACACCGTTTGCCAGTTCCACAAGAACTGCAGTATGCTCCTAGTCCAAGCTGGTCCTATTAGCCTGCTATGAGAGACAAGTAAATATGGTCAGAGCCCTGGCTTGTCCAAATGTCCATGGTGAATTGTAGCATGTGAGTCTGCTTTCCCCAGAAGCTGCAGCAACTTCTCCTACTAGATCTCACATAGAAAGGACAAAACAGTCATGCTCAAAGTGGTGCTAGGGGGTAGTTTGTAACATGGTACTAGTGTCTCCATCAGCTTTCCAATTGTGTGTGTGTGTGTGTGTCACCCTTTTCAGGATTTTCTAGGTACAGAGTATTCAGAAGTGCTTTATCATTCCCTTCTTCTAGGGGCATCCTGGGACTGTGCAGATTACAACCACACAGACTGGTTGTACTCACAGAAGGGCACAATGGGGAATCAAACTCCCAATCTGTGGCTCTGCAGCAAGATACTTAACTCGCTGAACTATATTAAACCTAATATGTTGTGGCTATCAGTTTGATTCTGAACACTTTTGAGAACTGTAGATCAGCTGTGAATTGGGTGGGATACAAATCAAATAAATAAATAATAGATCAGCTGTGAATTAGCTGATTTCAGTTGTTTCCTGAACGCTCAGAGTGGTCGCATAGACCAGATGGGTGGGATACAAATCAAATAAATAAATAAATAAAATAAACATAAATTCTAGGAATGAAAAAAATGTATTATTTATTAGGTTTTATATCTGTGTGCATGTACATACAATACCTTCAAGCAGAAATTATTCACAATGGTAGAAAAGATTTCACACCTCTGATTTTCTTTTTCACTCCTTTGCAAGTGAGGGTGAGCACTGCATGACGCTGTTTCAGTAGATCCAGCTTCCCATTGAGTTCATCAGCAATACTCACTTTATTCTCAAAATCTCTCAACAACAGTGTATTCCCAAGTAAACCACACTTCTGCTGAAGCTTCTGATTGTCCATTCTTAATTTATCCCGAGCTTGTTTGGTTTTGGTTAAAATCTCTCTCTTTTGAGCCACATGAGCCTCAATTGCCATTAGTTCCGCTTTTTGTTCTTGATTCCTTGCTTCCACAAACTGCAGTTTTTCTTTTACCTGAGATAGAATTTGCACTGTGTTGGTAATCCTTCTCCGCAGCTTCAGAAGCTCCTCGTTGCGCTCTTCAATCTTTTCATTGTAGGTCTGGTTCTCAATCTTCAACTGCTCAAAGTCTATTAAGTGCAGGCCTTCTGCCAACATTTCCTGGACTTTTAGGCTTGCTTCAAGTTTTTGGATCCTGTGCTTCAACTTTATATTTTCTAGACGAACCTAGAATGACAACATGTGTAGTAAGGCTACAGAAATACTACCAAAGGATTTGTTCAACTTGAGCAATAAAGACTTTACTGGCTGGAAAAATGAAACAGAACAAAAGCAGATATGAGTTTTCTACTGAGAATACAGAATTGCTGATTGGGCATGACATTTCACCAGGTGAGAGATACTATGTACTACTACATGGAATGGAGATCTAAAATTTTGTGAGTTCAGTGGGAACTCATGAGAGTCGCTGGCCCTACCTCCTGGGTATCCAGCAGCCGTGGAGTCCTCGGACAAAACTCCATGGCTTCTAGCTTGGGTTTTTGAATCTCAACAGCTTTGATTTACAGAACAGCATTGTCCCTTCTCTCAGGTTTCCAGGGTTTCCAGCACTAACCCCTTGGGTACAGTTGAATCCAAGTGGGACTCCAGTTTACTGGGGTCTCTGAAAGTCCAGGTTCAGCAAAATGGGAGGGGAAATGAGACCCGATCTGGGTTGCAGTTCTTTTAATGAGTGCTGGTAAAGTCAGGTGAGGAAGACCAAGAACTACTGAGTAGTTCTGCCTGGAGCTTTTTTTGCTGCTCCTGTTGGTGCTTGGGATGAGTACTGCAGCTTCCAATGGGCAGTGAGGATGCCAATACAAGAGGAACACCAAAAGCAAACTTATTAAGCTGTGTTAAAAATCCATTTATGTCAGATCAGTAGTAATAGGTCCTCAGATGTGAACAGAATATTTATATCAAGCATATAACCAGGGTATTGTTATGAAAAACTATTTCATTTGTCCCCAGTAGATTATCAAAGAATATAGTGGCTCTAAACCTAGAGATCTCATTTAATTGTCAAGGCTACAGTTCAAAGCTTTGATTATCTGAAGATATACCTGCCTATGCCAAAGTGTATCTATTGAAGATTCTTCATATTGATAAAACACAGTACACTTTATCTGATGCAAGTCAGTACATAAGCTGACATGGTTGGATCCAGCCAAAGTACAAATGTAATAGGTAGACACTGTTACCTCAGAAATATAACTCGTCACTGATGGGATGCAAATTAAGGTCATTTGGTAGTCCAAGATACCTTATGTAATTTGATAAAACAGTAAAGACTTTTTTGACAACTGCAGACTTTTCAACCATTTTTTACTGTGCATGACAACAATTAAAGATACTGGTGCTGACTTTTCGTTCCCTCTCTTTGGTGTACACTTGTGGGTGCTGATGTTCATACTGTCAGAACAGTACCATTTGTAAAGTAGGGAGATAGCAGCAGGTTGAGAATAGTCCTGGGGTCTGTGGAACAAATCTAATGGGGCAAAAACTGGGGGAATGAGAGGGAATCCCCAGAACAGCTCAAAAAGGACTAAATATTCGCAGCAGCCAGGAAATGCTAAGTGATTGAATAGGAAGAAGGATAATAACTATTTTTATACATATGTTTGTCTTAACCTTCTTGTTGCCGAGTATAATTTTGGATTTCAGGATGAAACTGTAGAAATCATGACTTATAAAACAGAACTACAAATCTCTTTGTTGCTTATGGTAGAAAAATGCTAATAATGGCACAGAACAGGGTGTAGGGGAGAAGGGCTGTGTGCCTTGGGCACTACATGGTTGATGTTTCAGGGAGGGTGAGATTCAGGTTCATTGCCCCAGGCTGCAATTTTCCTAAATTAAAATATTTAGAGAAAAGAAGAGAGGTGGGACAGCTCTTAGGGAACTTACCCCTCCACATAGTTGGAGTTTCACTTATACTAGATGTGCATCTGCAAAGAAATAAACCCTTCCTTTCCCTTTCTGTGTTGCAGGAAAGTGGACTAACTATGCTGGACAGGCAGGACATGCTCAGCAAGCTCAACACTTTTGACATTAACAGCTTTTCCAGCACTGAGGATTTTGAATGCTGAAACTGAGTTTCATTCATAAACCATTAGCACTCCCTCACAGCTCTCTCTGGAGCACCCTTTTGACAGTTCGGCTTTGGACCTATTTGGTCCTGAGCTGCCCTGATTATGATGTGAGTTCAAGCATCTGAAATCTCAGTGATCCTGCTGTCCGCTGATTTTCATTGGGAAACAGAAATTTATTTATTTATTTATTTAATTTATATGCTGCCCACACTACCCAAAGGTCTCTGATTTATTTTTATTTTTCACCTCACAGCCAAACTGCGCTGAATCCTTGCAATAAATAATTGTGTGATTGGGTCCTTTCTCGGTGATGGGCGGGCCAAGGGATTCGGCGGGAATAACTGCAGGAGTCGATGTAACAGTCAAAAACGGGTTTGTTTTATTAGCTTTCTCATCAAGTAACTCTGGACCAAACGGGTCCGGCAACTCTTCATTTGTTAACAAGTTATATTTCTTGGGTTTTACCCCAGGCATCACATCTTTGGTTTTCACTATTTCTTCCCCCCAAAACGAGCGATTGCGTTCTGATTCGCGGCCAGCTTTACTTATCTCTTTCAGCAGAGGCAACAGACCATCTTCCTTCATTAAGTTCGGGAAATTCTTTACCAGTGTCGCAATCTTCTCTCTCTCTACACCTGTCTCCCTTGTTTGCGTACTCTTTTCTTCCTTTCCCCCTTCTGCCCCTTTCTCTCTCCTCTCTTTCTTTATAACCTCGTCCCATCTCCAGTCTCCTGACTCCTCCCCCCAGTCTTTTGTCCTCTCCGCTAGAAACACCTCTATCGCTCTATTAGTACCCCCTTCTTCGTCATCCAGTTTGATTCGCCCACAGCGCATCCCTCACTTTCTTCTTCTTTAGATGTCTGTGAGGACGGCTCACTTTCCTTCCTTCGCTCACAAATTGTTTGACCTTTTATAAATGTATAGTGCATAGTGGGTGTTTTATTTTTGTAATTTGCAGAAGGAGCCACAGAGGTTGAAGATTGGTGGCACATGGTCTTTAAGTTGCAAGCTTTTTTCAAGTGTCTCTAGGCCTTATGAGAGCTGTCTATTTTGTTGATTATTACTGAGGTCTGATAAACCTCTCTCTGAAGACTATGGCTTAAACTCTATGGGTTGATTCCTGGAAAATCAAAATGGGTTTTAACACACTCACAGATTCCAGGAAAAGGCCATGAGTATAAAAATGTGGGAATTTTTTCTAAAATGTGGGTTTTTATTTTTATTTTTTGTACTGTTCAACTTATTGCAGGTTTTCCTTTTCCGCCATTGTCTCTGCAAAGAGCAGCAAGCACCTGCAGAAGGACCCTGAAATCTCCGCTGTAGCGTTTCAGCCCCAGGAGACCTAAGGGCCTGCCATGGCATGCCCTACGGCCAGCCCCTTTTTCACCTCACAGCCAAGCTACGCTGAATCCTTGCAACAGTTGTTTTAACCTTTTATAAATGTATACTGCATAGTGGGTGTTTCATTTTTGTAATTTGCAGAAGAATCCACAGAGGTTGAAAATTGGTTAAGGTAACAATGTAGAAAAATTACTTGGTAAATCTTCAATATTTTTGAGCGCCCATCAGTGTGGAAATACAACTTAACACTCTCTAAAAGCACTGGCACTTTTGACAGTGGCACTAGAAGGTACAATTATTTAATTTATCGTGACCGTATACAGCAGAAGCCACAAATAAAGTTGGTGGAATATTCTCAAGATCCTCCTCATCACTCCCCATCAGGGTGCAGGGTGGCTTTCTTGCACTTTTCAGCATCTGTTAGGGCTTCTGCAGACCTGCATTTTCTTCTTAGATTTTCTGGGTCTTCAGGCAGGCTCTCTCTGAGCCTTGGAGGGGGCCCTAAAGGACACAGGGGCTTGGAACAACCCACAAGCCTTGGTAGCCACCTTAGGAGCTCAAGCACACCAGTCTCTTCAAAGAGTGGTGAGCATGCGCAGAAGGTCCCTGAAATCCTCGCTGTGGAATTTCAGCCCCAGGCGGAATAAGGGCTTGCTGAGGCATGCTCTACGACCACTCCTTTTCTAGCCAAACCCCTCCAACCTTGTCCAACCTTCTGCAAATTGCAAACAGGTCTTTAAGTTGCAAGCTTTGTTACTGCACATTCTCAAGTGAAACCCTTGGGGTATATTTGAGTTGCTGCAATGAGAAATCCTAGTTTCTATATAACATAAGATTGAACTGTAAAGTGGAAATCATGAAACATATTCATACAGCTATATCATAATAGAAGAAGTTTGTTTGTTTTAACCGTTGCTTTAAAATTGTCTCCTATTTAGAAGGTATATTTAATTTATTGTTACAGCATATCAGAAGGGCCCCGAAATCATTCATAACAGAAGAGGCCTGTTTGTTTGAATCATTGCTTTAAAATTGTCTCCTGTTTAGAATGTCCAATTATTTAATTTATTGTTACCGTATATTAGAAGGGCCCTGAAATCACTGCTGTGGAATTTAAGCCCCCGTCGGCCTACAGCCACCCCTTTTCTAACCAAACCTCTTCAGCCTCGCCCCATTGACCTACAGGGCTGCGGGGGTGACACCCCTTTGGGGGCCAATCCTGGGGCCAAACTCTGGTCACAGGGGACCCCAGACTCTAGGAGAAGCCCCCTATAGGGCCACGGTGACCTCCACAACTCCTTATGTCACTCCTCAACCCGCCTCTTCCGCCGGAAGGGGCCAGGGTTGATGCCTGACCTGGAAGCCCTGCCTTAAAGGGGAGTGGCACCTGTAAAAATGAGTTTGATGAATGCTAGTCCCTTATACTACTCACAATTACTCTGTAAAAAGGCCAAAGGGTTTACTTGTAGGAATTTGCTGTATGTATAGGATTCATTTCCCTAAGTTCCATGAATCCTTTCAAACCTTAATTCTCTGTAAACTGTTTTTAATTAAAGCTGCTCTAGACTTTACTAAAGGTCCAAAATAATTTCTCTTAATATGAACCATTAACTTTAGGGAGGTTATTTTTAAGGAATGGGCTGTATACTTCAAACCACAGCAGCAGACTTGGCCTAGATTAATTTTGGCTCTCAAGGGGGTAGCATTTAAGCTTTTATAACTGGCTTAAATAGGAGAGATTATTTTACATACATACGGACACACACGGCTGTCCTACATAATGAGGGAGAGAAATAACCTGCAAGATGGTGCCAAGAGGATCTTGGGCTTAGGCAGTGCCCATAACCAGAAGATTAGACTGAGAACTCAGGAATATACAGGACCAGGCTCACCTCTGTCACTTCCTTTTCCTTGCTCTCCTCTCTCCCCTGGATTTGGTCCACCTCCTTGATGGCAGCGTGCCTGCCACCCAGCCTCCGCCCCATGGTATACACAGCCACCTCTTTCTTGATGGCCTGGTAGGTCTTCCACTCGGTCTCCATCTTGGCCAGTTTCTCGTCGCAGGAGCGCTGGACGGCCTCGATCTGCTTCTGGAACCAGGCCATCTCCCCCCTCTGGTCCCGCCGCATGTCCTGCAGCATGGCCAGGTAGCGACTGTAGCGCTGCTCCCTGTCCGAGATGTGCTGCTCCAGCTCCGCGCGGGCCGGCTCTTTGCCCTTGGCCTTGTTCAGCAGCTCGCCCAGCTTGCCCTGCAGCTTCGTGTTGTAGTGGCGGAGGCGGCTCCGCTCCAACAGCAGCTGCTGGTACTGCTCCACCAGCTCCTCCCGCCGCAGCTGCTCCTCGGCCAGGCGCTGCGCCAGCTGCTCCTCCGTCTCCACCGCCACCGCCGAGGACTCCGCGCTCTCCGGGCTGGAGCCGAGTCCCAGCGAGGCCCCGCTCGGCCTCTGGTGCTCCAGCTCCCAGAGGCTGAGGCTGATCCGGCGCCCCAACTCGGCGCCCACCTGCAGTGGCGGCGGCTCCGGCAGCTCCCCTTCGGTGAAGGAGACGTGGGTGGGCAGCTCCCCGAGGGACAGAGTCGAAGGCACCTCCTCCGCCGCCGTCGTCGCCGCTTCAGAGGCAACAGTCGTCACCGTAGCTTCTTCGGCGCCCTCCTCGCCAGGCCCTTCGCTTGAGGCCGGTCCCTCTGGCGGCGCTTCTGATGGGCCTTCGCTCGCCGATTCCGCGGTGGCTCCCTCCGGCTGCTCTTCTGCAGCAACCGGCTCCAGCTCTGCTTCCCCCTCGCCTTGTGGCCGCGGCTGCTCTTCTTCGGCGACGGTGGCAGAGGAAGGCACGGCCTCCACGGCCTCCGCCGTCCTTTCATCGTTGGCCGCCTCAGTCACAAGAGGAGCCTCCTCTAGTTCGAGGACAGCCGGGGTGGCGGCGACTGTAATCGATTCCGCCGCCTCCTCCTCCTGAGGGGTAACAACAGCTGCGGCCTCGTCCACCGCCTCGGGAGAAACTACCACCTCGGCTTCCTCCATGTCGCTCTCGCTGTTTAGAGTAACGAGACACTAACGTCGCCTTTTTTTCCCCTCCACCGATCTGTTTCGCTCGGTCACTAGGCAACAAGGTTCAGTTTGTTGGACGAATAGAGGAAAGGCTTGGTGGTTGCGACGGGAAACGCATCCTCAGCCTCAAAATTGATTGGTCGACTGGGCTCGGGGCCCGCCTCCGGAGCTCTAAGGCCCCTAATTGGATGCGGGTGATACTCCGTCGCTACCTTAAACGTCACGAGTGCGCCGCTTTCTTTTCCCTAGAGAGGTAAAACAAAATGGCGGAGCTGGGGAAGAAGTATTGCGTGTACTGCTTGGCCGAGGTCAGCTCGCTCCGTTTCCGTTGCACGGAGTGTGCCGACATCGAGCTCTGCCCCGAGTGCTTCTCGGCTGGCGCCGAGATTGGCCCGCATCGGCGCTGGCACGGCTACCAGCTGGTGGATGGCGGGCGTTTCACGCTCTGGGGTGCAGAGGCCGAGGGCGGCTGGAGCAGCCGTGAGGAGCAGCTTCTCCTGGATGCCATCGAGCAGTTCGGCTTCGGCAACTGGGTAAGAAAGAGAGCGCGGAGCGAGGGAAGGGTCATTTCCAATGTCTTCATTAGTCAGGCTTCCTCCTCCCCTGAGAGGGTTCTCGTTCTCCGAGCCGCCCCTCATCCCGATCTTCATCCTTCGGTTTTGCTTAAGGTGATGGGCTCTTGCTTTTTTGACATGATGCGAGTAAATATTTTCTGCTGTGACACTGGAGATAGTGGGTGGTGGCTCCACCCGTTCTAAATCGTGGCGGATTCTTCATTTCCCCTCCCCTTTTCAAGTATTTCAAATGTGTGACGAGAAACAGAAAGAATAACGGTGCGAGGCCGAAAATAAGCAGTTGTGTTTTATTTCAACTGCTAAGCAGCCAATACTTGTGGATGGTCAGGTGGTGTCTGTGACCGAGGTTATTTCTACGTGACTGTATTTTTTGGGTGAGATAGATATAGTCCCGTTACTGAAGCCTTGATAACATTCAGCTGAGTGTATGTGTTGCCTTTTGAAACTAGAACTGTTTGCTAGCAGTGACAGAGTTGATTGGCAGAGCAGGTTTTAGGATCATGATAGTCTCTCTCTTGAATTGGCTTTCACTTCATTTAAGCCCATTTCATTGTGAAATTTTCAACTAAACAATTAGGGTTGGAATGTTTAAAAGAATTTCTGCTTTCCCTGTGATACTCCTCGCTTGGCCCCTGGGGTCCATCCCTCCTTTTTCTGCTTCTGGTGGGAATGGAGATCAGTAAAGACTGGCCAACATTTGGTGCAGATAATCCTATATCTGCATTAGTTAGTTCTGCACTTGCCTAGTAATTTTGAGCTGACCCTGTGTTGTGTTGCTTATTTATGTAGTAGATAAAGGTTTCCATTGACATTTAGTCCAGTCGTGTCTGACTCTAGTGGACGGTGCTCATCCCTGTTTCCAAGCCGTATAGCCAGCGTTTGTCCAAAGACAGTTTCCGCGGTCACGTAACCAGCACGACTAGACATGGAACGTCATTACCTTCCCACTGTGGTGGTACCTATTTACAGTGGTGCCTCGACTTATGACCATTTCAAGTTACAACCAGCTCTGGCCACAACATATTGTTTCGACGCTGCAGGAGCTTCCAGTTACGAACACAAAAAGGCAAGGGGAAAAGGCGGGAAATTCAAATTGCTAACTGTTGGTGGTGAAGAGGCTGCTTCTTTGTACAGTAGCTCTTTTGCCCCAGCAGCTAGAGAGTGTTGGACCAGAGGAGGCTTGGGACTGCCTGGCTTCTGCTGCTGAGTGAATGTGTGCTTGTTTGCAGGAAGGCTTGGGACTGCCTGGTAAGGTAAGGTGCTGCTTTCTGCTTTTTAAAAGCTGCCTGTTCTGGGTGGGTTTTGCAGGGTGGGTTTGGGCTGGGGGGGTTATTTTTCTGTGCTTCTGGTTTGGTTTTTAAGCCCTAACTCCTTCGGGGCTTGCTCTGTTGTTTATTTTTTGTTTTTGTTTGTTTGTTTTTTGCAGCCCCAGCGCCTTCCAATGGGGCTTGCTCTGTTGTTGGTTTTTTTTAAAAGCCCCAGCGCCTTCGGGGCTTGCTCCGTTGTTTATTTTTGGGTGTTTTTTTTTTTTCAGCCCCAGCATGTTCCTATGGGGCTTGCAGTATTTTATTTTTGGGGAGTATTCTTTCCTTCTTCCGGAACGGATTAATCATGTTCCAATGCATTTCAATGGGAAATGGTGCTTCGACTTACAATCATTTCGCATTTTCTGGAACAGATTATGGTCGTAAGTCAAAGCACCACTGTATCTACTCGCATTTGCATGCTTTCGAACTGCTAGGTTGGCAGGAGCTGGGACAAGTGATGGGAGCTCACTCCGTCGCATGGATTTGATCTTACAACTGCTGGTCTTCTGAACTTCCAACACAGAGGCTTCTGCGGTTTAACCCGCAGCACCACCACGTCCCTACCTTTATTTTATTTATTTATGTAGTAAGTATCTTAAATCTTAATTTATTTGTGTATTATGTGTTTGTTTTGTTTGCAGGACTTTTTCAACTGCAAAAAATCTTACAAAATTTTAATATAAAAATTTGCAGATGGTCCAGGTAGAGTACAGCAGTGAAATGCATGTGGACTAGATATCTGCAGTGCCACATTCCAGTATATCTGGTATTTTGTGGGTGTTCATAGTTTCTAAAAACATGCAACCTGATTGTATAATTAAAAAACAAACCCTTACATCTTTTGAATTGAGACCTTAAAAATCCAGTTTATTTCTTTAATAGTTGGTCAAGACTCAATCTCCATGGGAATGCAATAAAAGAGACTTGCTTTGAATAGTTAGGTATAAGCATCTTCTGATATTCAAAAAATCTGCATTCATTAATAGTATCTAAAAGCAAGAATAATATGAAATATCACTTTGGTTTTTGAAATGTTCCATTGCTTTGGAGCTTGATATAATGATGTTGTTGTTGTTCTTTAGTCGTGTCCAACTCTTCGTGACCCCATGGAACAGAGAGCACGCCAGGCCCTTCTGTCTTCCGCTGCTTCAATGACAGTGTCCAACCATTTCATCCTCTGTTGACCCCTTCTCCTCTTGCCCTCACACTTTCCCAGCATCAGGGTCTTTTCCAGGGAGTCTTCTCTGCTCATGAGATGGCCAAAGTACTGGAGCCTCAGCTTCAGGATCTGTCCTTCCAGGGAGCACTCCGGGTTGATTTCCTTCAGAAGGGATAAGTTTCTTCTCCTTGCAGTCCAGGGGACTCTCAAGAGCCTCCTCCAGCACCAAAATTCAAAAGTATCAATTCTTCAGCAGTCAGCTCTCTTTATGGCCCAACTCTTCCCTTCCATACATCGCTACTAGAAACACCATAGCTTTGACTATGCGTACTTTTGTTGACAAGGTGATGTCTTTGCTTTTTAAGATGCTGTCGAGGTTTGTCATTGCTTTCCTCCTAAGAAGCAGGAGTTTTTTAATTTCTTGGCTGCTCTGTCACCATCTGCAGTGATCATGGAGCCCAAGAAAGTAAAATCTCTCACTGCCTCCATATCTTCCCCTTCTATTTGCCAGGAGGTGATGGGACCAGTAGCCATGATCTTAGTGTTTGTTTGTTTGTTTTTTTTTGATGTTGAGCTTGAGACCATGTTTTGTTTTGATGTTGAGCTTGAGACCATTTTTTGCGCTATTCTTTTTCACCCTCATTAAGAGGTTCTTTAATTCCTCCTCACTTTCTGCCATCAGAGTGGTATCATCTGCATATCTGAGGTTATTGATATTTCTTCCGGCAATCTTAATTCCGGTTTGGGATTGCTCCAGTCCGGCCTTTCGCATGATGTATTCCGCATACTATATAAGTTAAATAATACAGGGGAGAATATACAACATACCAATTTTGAACCAATCAGTTGTTACATATCCAGTTCTAACTGTTGCTTATTGTCCCACTTACAGATTTCTCAGGAGATATATAAGGTGGCCAGGCATTCCCAATTCTTTAAGGAGTTGCCATAGTTTCCTGTGGTCCACACAGTCAAAGGCTTTTGCATAGTCAATGAAGCAGGAGTAGATATTTTTCTGGAACTCTCTGGCTTTCTCCATAATCCAGCGCATGTTAGCAATTTGTTCTCTAGTTCCTCTGCCCCTTTGAAATCCAGCTTGTACTTCTGGGAGTTCTCGGTCCACATACTGCTGAAGCTTGCCTTGGAGGATTTTGAGCACAATCTTGCTAGTGTGTGAAATGAGTGCAATTGTACGGTAGTTGGAGTATTCTTTCGCATTGCCCTTCCTTGGAATTGGGATGTAGACTGATCTTTTCCAGTCC